GGGAACATGTCTTCAGATGTTTTAAAGTTATATTTCCCCCAGATTTACATTTTGGAACCATCCTTTTCTTCTTCTGTTTCTGCTGGAATGAAAAAGAATTCCTGATAATACTTCTTCTATTGATTGAGTGCTCACCAATTCTTTACTGTCTCATTTTTCTCCTTGAATCTATGACTCAAGGAAACAAGGAAACTGGGGCTCAGAAAAGTTACATGATCACCCTGTGTACTGCACATATTGTTGGTATAGTTGGGATGAAAACAAAGTCCTTCTTGTACCTTAATATTCTTTTTCAGTAGTGTTTAAAATTTTCAGTGTAAATATGTCTCTTAAATTTTATTTTCCTAATTCTCTTCCCTTTCCTCAGGATTCATATGCTGTATGCTTCATTCTCTTGCCTTTTGAAAAAGATGAAAGGCAAATTTAAGGAAAGTATACTAACTTTTATCTTGAAATGCTTTTTATGGCTACATTGTAAATTCTCAACAATAAAGGGTCTAATGGAAACACTTAATGAGGAAGTAGGGGCTCTATCACACATACACCCTACCCCCCTTTTGTAGTGAATAGACCATTTAAAGTAAATTAAGTAAAAGAGATATATTCTGTTGTTTCAGTGTTAATATTTCATGACTGATTTTATAGATGGAATTATATTTTACAATAAAAGGGAAGAAGAATTTATATAGCCTGTTCTGTTTGATGGGAAACAGAAAATCCCATTTCTCTATAGCTGTAAAGAAAATTCATTATAATGTCTTTAGTTGGAAGAGATAGTTTCATTGTGATTAGTTACATTGATAATAAAATAACCTTTTCAAATGGCCTAAGATACAAACAATCCTATGTGTCTGCTTTTAATGGCATTGAAGTTTTCTATCTCTACTCATAAGATTTTCTTCCTTTCTTTTATCCTGTTTTTCTGTCCTAATAAAATTTTTTCTCTAAAAAATTAAAACAATTAGACGGAAATACTAATAAAGTATTGATTTTGAATATACTTTTGGAAAGGAGATGTATAAAATTTTACTTTTCCCTAAAATCTCTTCGACTATACAAATACATTTGTCAGAGGTTGTTGGTATACGGTTGTCATAAAATTAACTTTATTATTGGATTAACTTAATGTATTTGGAAAATAGTACTTGAGGTGTAGGAATATTTTTTTTGGAAAAAAGAAATAGGTAAGACAGCTGAGCTGATTTTATAGTTTATTTTAATCTCATGACTTGTTTTATAATTTTTTCATACCTTTTCACAAGTAGTGCTGGGATGCTGGGGCTCTTTGGTAACAGAAGGAGTGATGTCTATCTGTTCTCTTCTGGTCACTATGGTTCGGTCCCTACTAGTATGGTTTACTGGTCATTGTTTAAGCTCTAACATAAACACTAAGCAAATAATCTAAGTTTTAGCTTGCAGGCAAAATTGAATTGGATATTTGAAATAGAATAGTATCCCTGGAATAAAAACAATATGCTGTTCTGAATTGAGTGGAGCTGTTTTTCTCCATCTGATAGTTGGACTTTGCTCTGGCCATTTGGGCTTGGAAGCACATAGTTGCAGCCTGCTCGTCTTCAGTGTGTCTTTGGACTCTTGCTAGGGGAGGTCCTTTTTTAGGGTTAAGCTAAACATGGTATGTGAGATGCTTTGGAAGTGGAAATTGGTCAGGTACGAGTTGGCCAGAGGCCCCTGTGTGGCCTAATCTTAAATGCTGCCTGCTAGGGAAGGTGAGGGAGTTAAGCAGTATGTGTGGCCAAAAGCATTGTCACTCCTTCAGCCTGTGACTGTCCATGTGCTTGTCCAAAGGAACTCAAGGCTACTGTTAATTCTGAGGCAGGTCAGTTGCTGAACAATTATAGGGGCCTATAAAAATGGAAGTCTTCATCCAAAATGAGGAGGTGACTCAGGAAACATTAAGACATTTCTTTTATTCCACATGACTCTAAATTTAAAACTCTCCCCCCTCATCTCTTTATTAGTTAGCCCTTTACTAACTCTTGATTTTATTATATCAGTTTTTCATTTTAAGTTATATCTGATCTGATCTGATTTTGATAGTGGGAGAGGCATAAATCTAAATGTCAGTTTATCAAAGTTCTAATATCCTACAGAAGTTTGAAATTATGCATTTCAAACAGTATACTTCAGTTAACATTTATTGACCTCCTCCTGCATACTATTGTTTTAGTTCTGAAGATTCTTACTAAAGGTGGAGCATATAGGAAAGGAAATATATATATATATATATATATATATATATATATATATCACATAAAGGAGGGGTAAACTTGAGCCATATATTCTAGACAAGGTGATAGGACAGAGAAGGGCAATATATTAGTGGTGCACGAACTTCCTGCACAGGTAGGGTCCCTAGGCCAATCAGGGCCTTCTGGCTGTAGGCTGGGGCCTTCCTTCATTCTGTGCTGCCCCCTGGTGGTCAGTGCACGTCATAGCGAGTGATCAAACTCCCCATCTCCCACTCGAACTCCCGAGGGGACACTTTGCATCTTAGACTTTTGTATATTTAGATAACAGATTATGTCAAAACATAATTGTTTAGGGCCTGGCCACTGTTGCTAAGTGGTTAGAGCACCAGCCCATGCACCAAAGAGTCTTGGGTTTGATTCTGGTCATGGGCATGTACCTGGGTTGTAGGTTTGATCCTCAGCCCAGGTTGGGGCAGGTGTGGGAGGCAACCAATGGATGTGTCTCTCTCACATAGGTCTCTCTCACATAGGTCTCTCTCTCTCTCTCTCTCTCTCTCTCTCTCTCTCTCTCTCTCTCTCTCCCCATCTCCCACACTCTTCCTCCCTCCCTTCCACTCTCTCTAAAAATCAGTGGGAAAGAAAAATATCCTCAGGTGAGGATTAACAACTACACTTAGTGGGTTAAAGCAACAAGCATTTATTACCTGGTAGTTTCTGTGGATCAGGGTTTGGGTTGGGCTTCCCTGGTGGTTCTGGCTGCAGGTCTCTCCTTGGCTGTAGTCAGGATTTAGTAGGGCTGTAGTCATCTGAAGTCTGGCCTAGGGCTGGCAGAGCTGCTCCCCAGAAGGCTCACTCACGTGGCTGTCGGCAGGAGTCCCCAGTTCCCATCTGGTGCTTGGTAGGAGGCTGAAGTCCTTGTACAGAGGACACTGCACAAGTGTCCTCACAACCAGGCACAGGATTTTCCCAGGTGGAGGGATGCAAGAGGGGGCATGCAGGGAGCACAGTGCCTCCATGACTTTGTCTCTAGAGTTGAGTACCCTCACTTCACTGCTTCTGTCTGGTACAGGCAGGTCACTGAGGCCAGCCCACACCAAGGGGAGGGAGGCAGGCTCCACTTTTTGAAGGGAGTGCCAGAATTTGTGGACTCACCTTAAACCACCACAGGCATTTTCCTGGATGGGTAATGTACACGTCTACAAACTTATGACTTGGGAATGCACTGTAGCCTGTCCTGAGCTTGAGTGTTCATGTTCTGAACTCACCACACCATGTTACTATCTAACTGTGGTAAAACTGCCTCTGGTATATCCCATTGGTGGCTTTTAGGGTATTAAATTATACTCTTCTTGTCATGGAAGAGTTTATTCATTTTCATAGAAAGGTGATGTGTTTATTTGTAGGCTCAGATACCTTACTTTGTGGTCGCTGTTACAAATTGATGTTTCTGATGGGAGAGAATAGTGAGAGGAAATTACATAAAGTATATGCCATGGTGTTTTGTAACAACAACTAATATTACAGCTTCTCATTAACAGACTCTCTATATGGACTTGGTGCTACTTTATTAAATTAGGTAATAGTATAATGGTAAGACATAGTTTCAATAAAAAGTCCATTTGCAAATGGTAGGTTAAGAAAGAGATCTGAGTAGTCCACCAATTTTTATCGATTCTTATCTCACTCAGCTGTCACCTCATAGCTCATAACAGGCTTGTAGGAAGTCTTACCTGTCCCTACCTTGTCCTTCCAGGAGAAGAGAGTCCCTACCATGGCATCTGAAAGGTGTCTGCATTGCAGCTTTCTCTGAACCCTACAGAGGGAAAGGGCAGAATCCCATTGAGAGTTTTTGTATATGCCTGTGTGCGCACACCTGCCAGGTTGCACACAGGTATCCCCAGCTGTGACTTTACTATTGGCGTGGTGCCAACATGTGCTAACTTCACACTGCTTTCTTGTACCACTAATTCGGATGGCTCTAGAAGGGTTGAAGAGTGGGATGGCATGAGATGGAGGCAGAGAGAAGATAGTTTCTTGTGTGGGTGGCCTCGTCATACCAGTGAAAGAGTATGTCTGTGGGTGTGAGTTTGCATGTGTATGTGTGGGGCATGGGGAGAGAAAGAAAGAGCAGGAAAAAGAGAGGAAGAGAGGACTCAAGCTTGCTTAATGTATACTTGTTAGAAAAGAGAAAAGGGATGAGAGAGAAACAAAGACAAGATTGTAATGAGAAAAAAGTGGGGAAAAAGGAGGTAAATGAGTGAAAATTTTCATGCCTGCTGTCCAATAGTAATGATAGCATGTGAAATGGTTGAATAATTGTTATATTTCTCTTATAGTTCCTGAAATCCTTTAAAATGCTGCAGGAAACTTCCCATGAGAAGTGGCCAGTAGGTGTCATCAGAAGGCTGCTAGTGATTTGTTTTATTATTCTTCTTAAAAAGTATGAGTGTTTTGATTCCTTTTTTTGCTACTTTTTTTCCTTTTAAAACCATAGAAGAGGCTATTTCAGTTACGGCAGAAACTTTCCTTCGTGATAGATTCTTGGTGAGTTAATAATTTATAGGTAAAATTGAAGATGATGAAGTGACATGTAACTTATTTCTTAGGGCACAGCTAGTTGAGAATTTGGATAAGAGTGGACACTATAAATGGGCCTGCATATTTAAAAATCATTGGGAATGGTGAGGATATGCATTAAGTGGTAATTGATGAATTTGTACAGGAAGCATAGTAGTGTGCTTTAAGATTTGGTTTCATAATACATCTCATTATTCCAGTGTAAATACTTACCAGGTCGTCTGAATGTTGAAACCTTACTGTGGGTAGAAATCTGAGACTCATTTTCTTTCTCCGCTGGGTATAAGTACCAGTGGTTTCAGAGGACACCTTTCCGTACTCTGTACTCCAAGGGTTGCAGTTGTTCCTGAGAGAAGTAAAGGGCCTTTAAGGAACAATGGAGTCTTGAATGTTTGTTGAGTGAATGAATGAAATGTATCTTCAGAAAAATGAGCCCCTAACCTATTCCACTCAGGTGATTTTTTATTTAAAAATCACCATTAAAAAAAACAAAAGACTTCATCCCCATCTCTATTGGTTCTAACACCCTTTCTGAGGAAAGGTTTTCTCTTTAATTTACATCAGCATGAGCATCCTCTGATCATTTCCATTTAATCCCTCCAGATCACTTTAAGATACTTAATAAACCACATTGCACTACTGGTTACTGACATCATCCCGGTTCTGGGCCTTATAACTTAAACTGTTAGAATACACACTTTTTGCTTCTGGATTTCTCCACCCGTGATGTGTCCTACATACTGAGAAATTATCTTCCTAAAGCCAAGCTGAGTTTTGGTGACTTCTCACTGACACTACTGAATAAATTCCAACTCTAATTCGGGGCCTGTATGATGGGGTCCTGGGTGACCACCTGCCTTTGGTTGAGCTTTAGGTAGAGCGGCAGAGTTTAGCTGTTAGCTGTCTGGAGGGCCAACAGTCTCACGCACTCATCATGCGTTTTTTAAGGCTTTGTCTGAGCCCTTTCTCCCACTTGAGATGTTTAACTGTTCCTACCTGCTCCCTCAACAAAAGAAAAAAATGGTTTTAGTTTCCTCAAGGTTAAGCTTGAGTGATATTCCTGCTATTTTAGCCATATATTCTGTTTGGAAGTGTGATCCCTTGGTCATCTCTACTCAGATCTTAGTTTATATCACACACAATCATCAAATGTGGCTTGTATTAGAGTTCCTTTGCATATGGATCCCAACAGAACACGAGTCTAATTTGGGCAGAGAAAGTGTTTATAGCATAGTTCCCTTCATATGGTAGGCACCCAGTGTATGTATGTTGAATGTTGTTCTTTCTTGATATAGTGACATGTTGAATTATTTCAGTAATTTAAAAAATTAGTTGGGAAATAACAAGTGTAGAAACATTTCCTCCTTTTGTTTTAGAGTTTTTGAAGCTATTATGTAGATGATAATAAAGGGTGTCATTATTTGGTTCCTGCGTATTCATGTAGTTGTCATTCTCTTGTCTCCAAAAATATATGAGTCGGGCATTATACTTAGACCATTACTTCTGAATAGACGCATGTGGGTCTTCCCTGAGTCAGTGTTTATATGTTCTACGTTCTATACGTATTATTTCTCAAGATGAAATTCCTGCCGTGTCCACAGTGAGGGCAGTATATAGTGTGCCACAGCCGTGGATGAGTAAGAGATGGCTAGAGTCAACATTGGAAGGAAGGGAATTCACTCCATTTTAGACCAGGCATTAAAAAAATATTGACCATAACTTCTGTTATGGACATTTTCAAACATAAACAGACTACACAATTTGATGGAAGAGCACTAGTATATTGAATCCCCATGTCACTGTTACTCAGCTTGCATTATTATCAGCACATAGCCTTCACTATGCCCTTCTTCTGAACTATTTTGAAGCGTATCTTAGACATTTTTCATTTAATCTAGAAGTACTTAGTGAATACCTCTTATATCACAATGTCTGAGAAAGGATTTATGCCCAGAATACATAAGCAACTGTTCCAGCTTAATAATAAACAAACAACCGAATTATGAAATGGGCAAAAGGCTAACAAGTGTTTCACAAAGCACAAAACAAAGTATTTGGCACCATCCCCAGTCATCAGGGAATTGCAGAAAAGAATGACTAAATTTTAAGGACTGATACAAGTGTCAAATGTGGGCGAGGGCGTGGGTTTCTCAGAATTCTTGGCATTGCTGGTGGCTATGTAAAACAGTGTGACCATTTTGCAGATCAGTCAAGCGGTGGCTCGTATAGCTAACCCTGTCCTTTCACCCTGTGACCCAGTAGTACCACCCTTGGGTATTTACACAAAAGAGATGAAAATAGTCATAAAAAGACTTGTACAGGAATATTCATATCAGCTTTACCATAAGAGCCAAAAAAGGGGAAGCAGCTCAGGTGTCTATTAACAGAATCAAGATATATCCATGCCGTGCATTTTGCTGATATGTTCAACAAAAATATTGTGCTGAGCAGGAGAAGCCAGACCCTCCTCCTTCAAAAGACATATTGTCTGAATGCATTTACATGAACTTTGGAACAAGCAAAATGAATCTGCTATGGAAGAATTTGGAGCAGTAGTTGTCTCAGGACTTAGTGTGAGGTGCATAAAACAGTTTTGTTTTTTTGGGGGGGACGTTGCCAGTGTTCTCTGTCTTATGGGACTTCTGTAGACCTCTGAGCTTCTCTTTCTGGCACCTCTCCTTTCCTTTAATCTGCCCTACAGACTCTAGCTGCCCCTCAACTCTGTTGGGAGACTCCTCCCTGTGCTGTGGCCTGGGTCCTTGCTCCAGGTAGTAAGCTGGGACTCACTTGGTTTAGCTGTCCTCTCTCAGAGATCACTACCCTTTGTTGCCGACGTCCAATGTCTTCTGTTGTTTCATAGATTTTGTGTGTGTGTGTTTTTTTTTCTTTTTCACTTGTTGCATGCATGAGAGTGACTTTTCTTGACCATAAGGGAGTGTCCTGGATGACGAATATATGTATTTAAAAATAATATATTGTCTCACCCCTTACTTACATTGTAAGGCAGATGTTTCATGTTGTTCTTTGCTGTAATTGCAGAATTTAGAACCAAGAACACTTGCCGTATAGTAGACACTAAGTGGAATTTTTGGAACATACATGTGGTTAATTCATTCTCTCTTGCCTCCTTTTATTCTCCTATTACAAATGTTGAGTAACAAAACTAATGCTGTATCTAAAAGAGCATTTTTAAAATTGATTTTTAGAGAGCTAGGAAAGGAGAGAGAGAGAAACATCGATGTGAAAGGGAAACATCGATTGGCTTGCTTCTTGCACACCCCCTGCTAGAGATCGAGTCTGTAACCTGGATGTGTACCCTGACTGGAAATGGAACCAGCAACCTTTTGGTGCACAGTCGATGACCAACCAACTGAACCACACAGGTCAGGGCTAAAAGAGCATTTTCTAAAAGGTTGTTTGTAACACCAATCTCTAGATTCTTGATAAACAAAGGGTTCTGTAGTAGAATTAGTTTGAGAAATGCTTATGTACTGAGAAATCCTGTGTAAAGGAATTTTGTTCAAACCAGAGTTTTCTGAACTTATTTGACCAGAGATATAATTAATATTTTCTGGAACACAGTCTGAATAAGTAATATCTTATAAGTGCAATAAAACCATGTACGTTTATCTTTTTCACTCTTTAACAAGAAACATACAGCATGTCACTATATTATGATACAGTTACAAATACAAGAGATTTTTGTATTGTAGATTATATATGACAAATTATATATTTTTAAGTAGCTTTATTGAGACATTCACATATCATACAATCCACTCATTTAAGCTACAGTTTAATGGATTTAAGTATATTCTCAGATATGTGCAGCCATCACCACAGTGAATTTTACAACAGTTTCATCATCTCAAAAAATAGATATACCCTTTATCTATATCCTCTTATCCCCCAAGGAACCAGTAATCTACTCTCTGTCTCTATAGATTTGCCTATTCTGGACATTTCTTATAAGAAGAATCATATAAGTATGTGGTCATTTGTGACTGGCTTTTTTTACTTAGCATAATGATTTCAATGCTCATCCCGTGGCATTAATCAGTACTTCATTTCTTTTTGTGACTGAATAATATTCCATTGTATGGCTGTACCACACTTAGCTTATCCATTAATCCATTGGTGAACATTTAGGTTGTTTCCACTTCCTGGTTGTTATGGATAATACTACTATAAATATTGTGTACAAGTTTTTATGTGGGGACATACGTTTTCGTTTCTCTTGGGCATATACCTAGGAGCGAAATTGATGGGCTCTATGGTAACTCCATGTTTAGTGATTTGAGGACTTGCCAGATTGTTTTCCAAAGCCGCAGCATCATTTTACATCCCAACTAGCATTGTATGAGGGTTCTGGTTTCTCTACATTCTCACCAGCATTTGTTATTGCCTGACTTTTTGATTCTAACCATCCTAGTGGATATGAAGTGGTGCTACCTTATGGCTTTATTTGCATTGCTCTAGCGACTGCTGACGTAGATTATGTTTACCTGTCCTTTTTGTCCATTTGTGTAGCTTTTTAAAAAACTAAGTTTTTATTGATTTCAGAGAGAAGAAGGGAGAGGGACAGAGGGATAGAAACATCAATGATGAGAGAGAATTATTGGTCGGCTGCCTCCTGCATGCCCCCTACTGGGGATTGAATCGTCTGCATCCCAGGCATGTGCCCTGACCTTCTGGTTTATAGGTCGATGTTCAACCACAGAGCCATACCACCTGGCAGCAGTTTTGTTTTAATCTGCTTTATAAAGTAGGAGTCCACTGAAACAGAATTTGAAAAGGGGGCTTCTCTATTTAGAAAAAAGAATTAGTAAATTGAAATGTAGTGGTGAAGGGAGTTGAAACTTGGGAGTTTTTTTGCAAGCTGTTTGAGAAAATCCCCCTTTCTATGGAAGATAGCATAGTGTTGCTTCCTGAGTCACAGCGTGGTGATACGGTGTTCCCAAAATCCAATTCATACTTTTCATTAAGGGTCATGTGATCAAATTAATCTCAATATGAAGGAAATCTTATTGAGGCTAATTTTACAGTATTTTTCATCCAGTATTTCACCTTATGTTGATTTTTGGATTAACATGTGTGTCTTTTTTTATGTTCAAAGGTTTAATGCCATGTTTGTTTTCTTCACAGGTTATGAGTGCCAAGTGAGCTACCCTGACAGAGGAGCAGTGTCGGCACATTAGTAATGATGGATACTGAGAAGAAACCAGAGAACGATGAGGACGAAAATGTAAACAAGGAAGCAGAAGACTCAAGGACTGTTTCATCTCAGGATGTGGAGTGTAGGCCCTTGTCTGATTTGGTAGTGAATTCCTCTGAGAATTCCGCTAGCAAAAGAGCTTTTTCAGAGTCATCAACCAGCGTTTTTGTAGAGGAAGATGGAAATAAACATGCTTCCAAACGAATGAAATTCAGTGAGGCCGAGCCCTGTAGGTCCGAAGAGCAGGGTGTTCGTGGGTTCTCCGAAGTGGAGGTCCCGTCCGGTGAAATGGTGAAGGCGTCCTTCCTGAATGACTGCTCAGATGGAGATACATGTCCTCCCACCTCGTTTTCCCTTCTCTGCAGTTCTAGCCCAACTGACACTGTTTCTCTGAAAACAGACACTGAGAAGACGATTGCTCAGGAAATGGTTTCCCTTGACCCAGAAACAAAATCTTTCTCCAGCAAAGAGGTTGCTAGTGTTGGTTGTACCATCGGGAAGATTGATTCAGCTTTCAAGTGCAACACGTGTGACCGTTTGTTTTCTTCTTGCTCGGACCTGGAGAAGCATGCTGAATGTCACATGCCGCTGTCTAAGGAGCCTGCCCACTGCCCCTGCAGCCACGGAGCGGAGAGCAGCCCAGCATTGCAGACCCATGCCACACAAACACATGGGTCACGGACCATCTTTTCTTGTGACCTTTGTGGCTTTCAGTGTGTGGAAGAGAACCTTTTGAACGCACATTGTCTTGGAAAAACACATCTCCGGCGCCAGAATCTTGCTGCTCGTGGAGGATTTGTGCAGATCTTAACAAAACAGCCTTTTCCTAAGAAATCATGTACCATTGGAACAAAGAATGTTCGCATAAAACCAAGAGCATCTAAACAAATAGGAAAGAATAGTGATTCAAAAGGACTAAGAAATGGTGGAAGCAAATTTAAAGATTTCAGAGGCAGCATTTCTAAGCAGAGTGGAAGTAGCAGTGAGCTTCTTGTTGAAATGAGGCCGTCCAGGAGTACTTTGCTAGAAAAGGGAGAGATTGTTGAAGAAAATGTCACTTCCTTTGGTACAACTCGAAATCCTGAAAACCAGAGTAAAAAGTTAGGAGCATTAGTAGCCTCACAGGGTCTCTTAGATAAATTGGAATCTACCAAAAAGACTCTACAGACAGCACATAGTATCAGCGCAACCTCGAGACCGAGACCTGAGCGAAACATTCTCATGTTGGCTAATAGCTTCCGACGACGAAGCGGCCCTTTCCCCTTAAAAGGCCAAGCCAAGAAAAGGTTTAATCTTTTAGGAATTAATAAACGGGGCACTAGTGAATCTCCCAGGATATATATGAAACACGTTAGAGCACAGATGAAAACAGGTGATTCAGAGTCCATGCCTAAACACATAGAAACGGGTGGCAGTACCCACAGTCTGTGTGTGTCTTCCTCAGAAACCCTGGACCTGAAGCAGGATGAAAGAAATGCCCACCTTGTGAGCTACTTTGACCCTCCCACAGTGAGGGCAGCTTCTGACCGTCAGATGTCGTGTACTTGTACAGACTGTGGCCAGGTGTCTACAAGTAGGACAGAGTTGGAAGTCCACATGAAAAGGTGCCATGCAAAAGAGGTGAAATTGTCCTGCCAGACATGTGACTTCTCCAGCATGTCGAGGAGGGACCTACATGAACATTTGCACAATCACCAGCTTCAGCAAACTGCCTCTGTCCTCAGTTGTCAGTGCTGCTCATTCATTTCCTTGAATGAAACACATCTTAGAGACCACATGAAGGAAAAGCACAGTATGAGCTTTCTCTGTTCTCCCTGTAATCTGTACTTCTTGTCTGAGAAGGACATGGAGGAACACAAGACAACTGAGAAGCATATTCGCTTATTGATTCAACCAAAGACTTCTCAATCATTTAACAATGATTTGGTTTTACAAACTTTACCTTTAAGTACTTCAGAATCAGAAAACACAAAGGAGACTATGAGCGAGTCAGAAAGAGTGGCTCAGGAAGAGCTGACTAAAACCCGGGTAAGCCATGGAAGTGAAGTAAGGCATTCAAATAAACCTCAATTTCAGTGTAAGAAGTGCTTTTACAAAACACGGTCCTCCACTGTTCTCACACGACACATAAAGCTTAGGCATGGTCAGGACTACCACTTTCTTTGTAAAGCATGTAATCTTTATTCATTGAGCAAAGAAGGAATGGAGAAACACATTAAGAGAAGCAAACATCTTGAAAATGCTAGGAAAAATAATATTGGCTTAAGCTTTGAAGAATGTATCGAAAGGGTTTGTATAGGTGCAAATGATAAAAAAGAAGAGGTTACAATTTCTGGAAACGAGAGGACAGAAGGCGATGTAGAAGGTGAGCAATTTCAGGAATGTAACTCTTTGGAGAAGAGCATACTCACTGCCAAGGAACAGCCACAGTCTGGCGTAATCTCCAAAGATGATGAGTTAGCTTTGACCACCACTCCAAAGAGAGGGAGACCCAAAGGTAACATCTCACGGACATGTTCACACTGTGGCCTCTTGGCCTCTAGTATTACAAATCTGACCGTTCACATTAGACGAAAACATAGTCACCAATACAGTTACTTATGCAAAGTGTGTAAGTATTATACTGTAACTAAGGGAGATATGGAGCGTCATTGTGCTACCAAGAAGCATAAAGGACGTGTAGAAATAGAAGCAAATGGAAAACAAAGTTCAGATATCATTATTGGCCCTGAAGGGGGTAACCTTGAAGCCTGTAGTAGGAGCACCAGTTCAGATGAACAGGCTAATAAGTCAGCTGAACCAGATCCCTCCAGTTCAGAAAAACCAGGACATGAGCACGGAGATCCAATTGAAGTTGAAGTCGAAAATGTATTTCATTCTACAGATGGGGAAGCTGGCAGTCATGTTATTGATGAGAAGGAACAAGTATCTCTAGAACCAGAGGCCCTGGTGCAGCAAAGGGAAGTATGCTCACAGAGAGGTGCTCTGAGCACAAGTGACAATAAATGTGCACACTGCGAGTTTAGTGCTCACTCTTCAGCTTCCCTAGAACTGCATGTGAAACGGAAACACACAAAAGAGTTTGCATTTTATTGCATGGCATGTGATTACTATGCTGTGACTCATCGAGAGATGACCAGGCATGCAGCAACAGAAAAGCACAAGGTGAAAAGGCAGTCTCACCTGAACTCTTCTGATGTGGGAGCAAGTCCTTCAGAAATGTCCAAAAACGTCATCATACCTGAGGAGCAGCATCGACAAAATTCTGAAGAATTTCAGATAATTTCAGACCAATTACCTGAAACTCTTAAATCTAGAAATGCTACTAGTCGTTCTGTTTTAGATGAGAATACTAAATTAGACATGTCTAAAGTACTCTGTGTTCCTGACTCTATAGAAATTGAGACTGAAGAAGAATCTAATCTTAGTGAAGGTCCTTCGTTTTGTGAAACTTTGCAACAGCCCCTTGCCCAGGACAAAGTTAGGAAACCTGAGGAAGTGGTGAACCTTAACATTTCCTCTAATGGCTCCCCAAGCAAATTTCAGAATGAAAATTCAGGAAGCTCAGCTTTAATTTATGAGACAACAAAGAACAATCACAATAAATTGAATGACATCGGTGATCCAAGTGCACATTGTGATAGCGATGGAGGGAATGGAGGAGACCATGGAGGTGAAATCCTCAGTAAACATGGATGTCTCGGAGATCTGGATGGAGCCCATTCAGCTGAAAGCACCGTCCCTGTTGTGATGGGAATGATGGGAGGGCAGCTAAACCTGGATAGCCGTGGTCAAGACCAAGTTGGAAATGTGCAGAGTTCAGTGGATTTGAAAGCTATGCAAGGAGATTCTTTCTTGGAAAATAAGGAAATTCTGATGAATTCCCAACATGAAACTGAAGTTGTTATAGAAGAGGATGGTCCAGCTTCTGATAGCACGGTTGAAAGTAATGATGTTTATGAAACTATAATTAATGTTGATGATAAAGGACAGGCCGTGTACAGCTTTGGCCGGTTTGATTCTTCCATAATAAGAATAAGGAACCCGGAAGATGGTGAATTGATAGATCAGTGTGAAGAGGGTCTGATAACAACAGAAGTGAGAATGAGTGAGTCACCCTTAAAAGACTGTGCTCAAGGTGTGAAAAAGAAGAAACCTGAAGGCAGCTCCTTTGGCGAATCCACACGAATCCGTTGTGATGACTGTGGTTTCTTAGCAGATGGGTTAAGTGGACTGAATGTTCACATAGCCATGAAGCATCCTACAAAGGAGAAACACTTCCATTGTTTGCTGTGCGGAAAGTCCTT